GGACTGTTCTCTTCATCCCATTTCACCCAAACCCTGGAAGAAACAGTTCCTGAGCTGGCCATTCCTAGGTACAAGTGTTTGCCTCTAAGACTCCATTTTCCAAACTGCTATGAATAGAAAGGGATTAAAAAAAAAAAAAACCAGCAAATCACCTTCTCCCCAAAGCAGTTTTAAAACACAACTTGATGTGTATAAAAGAGAGGGAAAGACTGCTGTGCTGGTGTGTATTTTGTACACGGAGGCCACTAAGACAGAAAGGGATGGCGCAGAACAAGAAGGCTAAAGTGTGCTGGGCATCCCTGGTCCCTAGGGGACCGTGCTGGCTTGAGAAGGAATCTATCTGCCTTGCTTACAGGGTGGACAAGGCTGGCTCTGAAACAAGATCAGCATCTTGAGGGAGTGACAGGAGCTCATTCTCTGAAATGTTGGGTAGTCAGCCTGGGGCACAGCACTCTCAGTGCCTCCTGAGGAAGTATAGGAGATCAATCTCTGGCAAGCCCCCCTTGATGTGTTATAAAACTCATGTGCACGCCTCGGTTGAGGACAGTCCAAGCCAGAGAAATGAGACATCAGCCTCCTGCTGCTGCTTGTAGGAGCTCAGTTTTATTGTTTCAACAACACAAAAGGCTGCCGTCTCTTTAAATAATAAACTATACACGAAGATCACAAGGAGCAGTAATACAAATGGTTTCCATGGGAACACACATACAGATTCAATAAATAATATAAAATGCTTTTTTTTGTGCTAAAATAGAACTCTTGTCTTGTAGTTACAGGTCCATCCATCTCTGTAACAGAAAAAGCCAGGTCTGCTATCACTTAGAACATAGAAAAATATAATTTAACAATTGAACTAAAAAAAAAAAAAGGCCAGTGTGTTGCGTTTATAATCCACATGCATTACATACAACCAATGGGCATGTAAACAACCAAGGAAACAAACAAACAAAAATCACAGTTAATGATTGGAATGATTGCTCCACTCCTACCCACCATCAAAGACATTTTACCTCTATGGCAAAATGAAAAGGGAAGGAAGGGTAGGTATTTGTTTGCCGAAGGACTCTGATGCTGGGGACCTACCTCTATGCTATGGGTTTGAATTAACTATGAGAAAGTCTTTGTTCTTCATTAAGGGTGAACACTTTGAACCCACTTCCTGTGGGGTCTCTGTTTTTAAGAACGGCTATTTTAGATGTGTGGGTTCCACACATCTCAGGGACATAGCGCCTCCCTGTTGCTGGTAGGAGTGGTAACACCTGTTTTGTGTCATAAAACCACAACTCCTAGTCTGTTAGTTACTTATTTCTAAGGCAGGGTTTCACTACATAGCCCAGGCTGTCCTGGGACTTGCCATCCTCCTGTCTCAGTGTCTTGAACACTAGGGCTGAGGGATATGAGAGGCTGTGCTCAGTTCTCTCTTATTCTTTAAGGAAAGCAAATCAACAAGGAAAACCCTAACATCCATCACAACTAAGGAGATGAGGCTTACAGCTGAGACTTCTTCATTCCATGGCAAAAGACAAATGAAAAGGAGACCTGAATAAAGCAATCATATTAACGAAAATATGAGCAATTAAGACTTTCAAGTAAACCTCAGTCAGGAAAAGAAAGGGTCTTGTTTTTCTAATTTTTGAAATTTTAAGTTATGAAAGTTCAAAGTGGATATGGAGTTAAACGTGCAGAAAGGCCTGTTTTGTCATCCTGGAGTTCCCTAGAACAAAACTGGATACCTCCTGCACCCTGGCAGCACATTCAATAACAGTGACCAGGAGGACACTGTCTCTGTCTGCCTGGGCTACAAAGCATTCAGTGTCAGGTGACAGACTCAGTGTCCAGGGATGTATCACTGATGAGGGACCTTCCTGGGAATGTCCAGTGAAGAGCAAATGGCAGCTTCATGAGGGAAGCAACTCGGCCTCGGGAACAAAGCAACCAAGCCTTGCAGTCATTGCTTGGGAATTCCCAGGGGATCTCCCACCAGCAGCCATCATTCCTTCCTTGGTATTCTGTCATGTCAGGAGAATGGTTTCCATCAGTCAACCAAGCAAACCTTCTCCACCTGATCACACCACAGATTCTCCATGGCATCCACTGGCTTCTCAGGGATCTGAAATGGCCCAGCTCCTGTCCTGGGGAGCCCTGGCCCTTCGCCACACTGTCCACTGGTGAACAATTGGAGCTAGTGGGGCCTCAGAACAGCTGCTTCTAATAGACACATGGCTGAGGTCAAGGGGCTACTCAAGCTAAATCTTATTAGTTGGCTAACAGGCTTCCCACCCTCCACGCACAATGGGGATTAAACTCAGAACAGTGGATATTCAAGACAAGAGCTTTGCCCCAGAGCTACCACCACAGCCCTTGGTGTTCTGAAGGCAGGGGCTTGCTATGTAGTACAGGTTAGCCTCAAACTCACAAGCCTCCTGCCTCTGCCAATCAAGGCTGGGCTCATAAGACTCCTGCATCAAGTCTGCCCGATGATGTCTTTTTTCAAAAGGATGTCGTCTCTCCCCAGTAGGCCATCATCCACATTCCATTGCTGGTTTTACAGTTTCTAACATCAGCCAATAAGACCATCCTTGTGCAGGCCCCTGCATCAACAGTGAGACAGGTTCCTATTAACCATGACAGGGAGGCAATTTCTACAGGCTTTGCTGAAAAAAAAAATCATGCTTCCCATGGCCTGGAGGCATGAGTGGGGGGCCCCAAGGGCAAGAGGATATTTTAGGTTAAAAAAATAAACAAACCGGGCCTTGCCAAAGGTGTGTGTCACATAGCTGCTTTAAAATGATCCGATGCTCTTGTTTTATGAAACCCAGGCTTCTCAGAACTTGATTGTATAAAAAACAGCATCACCTGGAACATCTTGGATCATGTTAAGAACTCTGCCCCCAAAGCTGGAATAAGGAGAACACACAGGTTTGTTCTGTTAATGGTACAAGAAGCACCTGGCATCTAGGGATCCACCAACATGACAGAAAACTCTCAAACAGCCACACATGGCAAACTCAGCTGGTGAACTCCTTCCACCCTGTGGGCCCATGATACCCTCTCACCTCGTGCTTGGGTGGAAAGACCTGATGACCCTTCATCTGCCCATGTAAATCTTGAGGACTATGGCAAGGGCCATTGTCCCTCCCTCTCAGCTGTGTCCTCATGAGGGAAATGGGGTTGAGGAGATAGAAAGGTTTACTTGGAGTAAGTCTGAGGCAGGGGGACTCTTAGGAGACCCATCCCCACACACAAACACAGCTCCTTTTTAAAAGAGAAGGAGCCTTAAAATTGACTCTGCTAAAACAATAACACATGATGTCTGAAAGTCTGCCTTATTATTATGCAGGTACAAGATCAGTGATCCTGTGTCATCTTCTAAAACCCTTTGGTATAGCTATCACCCCAATACAAGATTTAGTCTGGCTAGTCCAACACCTGCAGGGGTCAAGCCACCATCCCGCTGGGGAGGGGCCAGAGATGCAGCCCCCATCCCTGCAGGTCTGATAGAGCTTGTGTGAGCTGCCCGTGCCAGTCACACCCATACAAAAACATCAGTATTTAACTACGTGTGCCTGTGTGCAATCAAATCTGAACACTAGTCCCATTAGTTAATCCAGCAAGCAGGGTGCCATGCTAGGTTGCAGCCATATTCCCACACTGGAGGCAGTGAACAGTGGCACATGTATGTGAACTCAAACCCTGAATGGGCACCGAGACCCACAGCTCACCCACACACCTGCAGGGTAACAGATACATTATCTTCCAAACTCTCAAAAGATAGTTGCGGTTTAAAAATCAATCAATAAACACCTTATTTTCCCAGCACATAAACATGGGAATATGCACTGGGTACTGTTAGAAAGATCCAGGACAGAATTCAAAGAGTTTCCATGCCAGGTTTCTTTATGTGCTCAGCAGTTCATCTAATGACTGTAACACAGCCCCTAAACAAGTAACTAGACAAGTCCACAGGGATTTTCAAGGACTTCTGTTTCAGTGTGGTGGCACAGGGACCCAGAATTTACTCAGGGCAACAGTGGAGGACATAACCTTTAGGGGAAGGGTGCTGGGCAAACTGCAGCCCCCATCAGAACAACCCGGTGCACAGTGCATTAATGACAGAAGGATGAGGGTCATGCCAGGGTACACAGGAGACCCCTGGAGGCTGTCACCCATCATTGTGAGTTCATTATAAATTATACTGAAGGGCAAGGCAGCAACTCTTTTTCTGCCTTGGGCACATCCTTGGATATGCTTCCCAGGCCAGGCAGAAGGAGCAGGACTCTGTCATAGACCTGCCCAGCATGGAGACCCCAAGCTTGTATACTCACTGCTCAATGGGTTACCTTCATCCTGCTTGACTTGAAGTTCTGGGGCATCTCCTCTGGTCGTGTTGACCAGAAGTGGCCATGATGGATGCCGTGGTGATTCCTCAAGAGGACATTCCTACCTCTGCCCTCTGACTGCCATCCCTGGAGCAGAGCTGTCAGAGAGGCAGGCAGTGAACACGGTACTCGGTGCTACCTCATCTCCTCTGAGACAGCCAGGGTCTATCCCTGACCTACAGAGACCCTAGGCTACTGTACCTCCCCTAGGATTTGGAGCCACAACCCCCAAACTTCAGGCACACACCAGGATACATCAGTGCCTAGGACAGGCTACTGCAGCCTTGGACACTATGGTCCCATCCTGGATATGCTCGATGCCAGACATGAAAATTTGAGTGGTAAGGCTCATTTCATGTTCTGAGTCCATGGATACCAAAGTAAGTGGGTGTGCAGAAAAAACTCCTTCTGCTTCTCCAGTAATTTCACGTGTGGACAGGCTAGCCCAGGGGATGTCCCAACTCCTGCAGGGCCATCTTGGTGTCATGGGCATCCCCAGCCTGGAGCAGCCCAGTACTCAGAACCACTGTGTCTCAGCTCCGCGTGGCTCCACTCCACTCCTGGGCTGAATCCTGGGCTGAAGAGCCGGGGCCCCTCCTGCAGGCCCTGCTGCTCTGTGGTTCAGATGCCGCTGCTATTTCTGTGACACAGCGGTGGCTTGGAGAGCTCCAGGATTGTGGTTCGGGGTTTGTTGAGGAACTTGGGGGTGCGGCGCAGCAGCCTCTGGGCCTCAGTGAAGGTGCATGTCAACTCCTTCAGCCACTGTGCAAACTCAGGGTCACTCTGCACAGAGACACAGGCAGGAATTGGGACCAGTCCACCATCTGCCAACAATATCTACAAATGACTAAGGTCCCTGGAGCCTGAAAGAGGACACACCTGTCGGTCCTGAGCCTTGCTTCTTTCTACCTTCAAGTCCCCTGGAACCTGGTGAGACACTCCAGATAGTGGAAAAGCCACTCTGGGCTCTCCCAGTGGTTTTCCTGTGCCTTATCTACTGCCTTAATCTAATTGGGGATTTTCTCTGGGTCCTAAAACCACAGACCATAGAATAATAATAAGGAAGAGGAGGTTCTGATGCTGTAGAACACCCTCTCACATGTCTACGGTAGTTTTGAAGCTCTTGTGTACACCTGTAACCCCAGCACTGGGGAAGCCAAGTCAGCAGAGTCCTGAGTTTCAGGCCAGCCTGGACTACATAGCAACAAACTAAAGGGTGTCCTTGTCCTACCAGTTTCTTTCCCTCTGCCCTGTAAAATACATGTGTGCACACACCTCAGTACACCAAGGGAAAGTGTTCCAAGATAAAACTTGAGCTACAGTACAACTCAGACAAAAACAAAGACAATCCCCGTCCGGGCCCCTCCTATCAGAAAAGTCCTTTTGGAATCTCAGCAATAAGAGAAATAAATTAGCTGGAAGATCAGACTCCAGACCCCATCTGGCCCAGGGCAGTCCCCAGACTCAACCATCACATCATTGCACTCTCTCCTCTGCTAACACTTGGATGTGACTTGATTTACCTAAACCTCACTCACCACACAGTCTGTGTGATTGGCAAGGAGAAGCTTGGGGACCTGGTGAGAGTCCTTGGAATATGCCCATCCCTGTCTGTTTTTATTCTGGAGAAGGTCAATAAAAACTCACCTCGCATTGCAGGACAAACTGCTTCCCTCCTTTTATTCTGAATAAAATGCATTTTCTATCTTTAATCTGGGTCTCTTCCACAGACAGGATCTGATCCATGGTCAGTAAATTTTGCTAAATACAATGGAAAAGTTAACAATTACTTTGTTCCTTGGAGATCTCTTGGAGTAAATTAAAGAGTGCATTTCCAAAAGCAAATGACATTTTCTTTCTTTCTCAGCTGATAGTCTAGAAGTGAGGAGAATGGCTACAAAGGACACAAAAACAAGCTCAAAGTAACCAGGGAAGCAACTCTTCTGTGAAGGCCCACAGCCCAGCCCATCTTTCTGGATTACAGTGTTGGTCTGGGCAGCTGTGAATGTGCAGGGCCACACTGCAGGAGCATCTGCTGCTGTCCAGCCATCAGCAGGAGAATGGTGAGCATTGGTGGCTGACAGCTAAGGCATGGATGGTTTAAAAGACCTAAATTCAGGTGGTACTCTTACAAGATCCTTACAGCAGATCTAGTGTGACGGCTCCCCAGGAGGCCACAGCATAGTTATAGGAGGTGGTGTTTGTTTGTTTGTTTGTTTGTTTATATTTTAGAAAAACTCCACAGGAATCTGGAGTAAAAAACATCTTGAGAAACTCCCCCCTGCTCTGTCTCTGTTCACTCTTATAGTTCTATTTCCTGGATTGTCTAGCTTCACACAGAATGCTCAATGTCAAATAAATAAATAAATAAATAAATAAACAAACAAATAAAAGATACATTGTTGCAGCCACGACAGTTTGCTTTGGTCTGACACAGCCAGGCTTGTGAGGATTGCCAGCCCAGCCCCCAGGAAGATACTTCAATACCTGCCAGCACAGAGCTGCATCTTGAGGCACCCACAGAACACCCGATTTAGCTCATCAAACCTTAGAGGTTTAATTTCAAAGAGCCTTGTGGCACAGGAAAGTGACCACAGACTATCGCCATCATTCATATTGCCTCAGACTTCACTAGCAGTTCTCAAAAACCATGACTTGAAGTCAAGACAGAAGAGCTGAGCCTCCTGCTCAGGTCTTCTGCCTCTGGGAGGCTACTGAATCCCTATTTTTGCCTCCTAATACACAAACCATGTCCTGACCCCGGTACCAGGGCCACACTCACAGTGATAAGCCCTGCCCTGCCTCACTGCCACCAGGCACCGTCCACCTAGGTGGGCTCCTTCCAGGGCCTCTCACATGCCGGGTGTTCAATGAAAGCAGCCTGCCTTGTCCCTTTGCTAACATTAGTTTGAGAAAGGGTCTGGGAGACTAAGATTCACCTAGATTCCAGTAGACTGCAGACAGCCTGGGTTGGCATCCTAGCCACCCTAAGCAGATCTCACGGGGTTTCATCTGCTCTGACTTGGGGCGAGACCAAAATAGCATAGACAGACCTGGGTCAACAGCCCTCCCCACCCACAATAGACTGGCTGTGCCCTTGGGTGCCCTGAATTCCTCTCAGTAAATCCAGGGCTGGACCCTGGAAGCTACCAAACCATTTGAGTTTTGTTTATGGCACCTGGCCTCAGTGTGCCTTAATCATGGGAGCTGTGAGCCTTTCTGTGTCTCCCACTTCACAAATGTGGAAACTGAGGCCCAGAGAGGCACCTTGGCGTATCCTGAGGCCCAAGAGCAATGAGTTGGGATCTACCTCTCCTGCTCTGCTCTTCTCCCATCCTACCATTCCCAGCTACAGCCTCCACTGAACCCCCTGAGGCTGCTGGACTTGGGACTCTGTCTTTCAAATGACACCTGCATCTCATTCCAGGAAGGGACTTGACATGGACACTTAAAAGTTAGACCACAGCAACCCTTGTTTCCTCCACACAAGAGACACGCCACAGAACTCACCCGTGAGTCGCCCTCTCCTCTCCACTCTAGTCTGTTGGGGAAGAGGTAGAAGTAGCGCCTCTGCCACTGTGTGAGGAAGGGGTTTCCCAGCTTCAGCATGAACCCGTGCATGATGCAATCCTTCCCCAGGGCATAATCTGAGGGCGAAGACACAGTGTCACTCAGGTCCTGAGCCAACGCCACTAATGACATGAGCTCTAGGGCTGGAGAGGCGGGTACATGTCTCTACAAAAGCAACTAATTTTAAACACCGTGATCCCAGCTTTTGGACACACAGGACTGGGATGTGGGAGCTCAGAAGGTTCCAGGCTGTGTTAAATCCATCTTTCTTGGCATTTGAAACTGTAGCATCTCCTGGCAACTCTGACTGGGCAAAATTTTGTTCCCAAACTACTAAATAAGACTATTTGCCGGGCGTTAGTGGCGCTCGCCTTCAATCCCAGCACTTGGGAGGCAGAGGCAGGCGGATCTCTATGAGTTGGAGACCAGCCTGGTCTACAAGAGCAAGTTCCAGGACAGGTTCCAAAGCTACACAGAGAAATTTTGTCTCAAAAAAACAAAACCAAACAAAAAGACTGTTTAATCACGAATTCTCTCCAAAGACCCATTGCCACTGGAGGGAACTGTCTCACTGTCTCTCAATCTGCTTCTGTCCTGCGAATGACTCTGATGCCAGGTGGCAGTTACAGTGGGCTCATCCTCGGCTCACTGCCCGTGAAGACGGCAGAAGATTCACACTGACTGAGTCTCTAACAGGGTGATGTTACACAACACCCATTAAAAGCTTTGGAAATCATGTTAAAATCACTCACTCATCCGTCAATCTACCCATGATGCCACTGGGGACGGGAGCTAGGCATTGGTCTTTTGGCGGGTCCACTGAGGAACAACAATAAAAGAGATTAAAAATCTGCCTGCCCTTGGGAATGTACAATCTGGAGACAGTCAGACCACCCTCAAAAGGGTCCACATATCATGCCCCTGAGATGGAGAAAAAGCAAAAGATAGCGGAGTGGAGGGTAGGGCCCACAGAGCTGCCTTTCTGACATGGGCTTGCATTTCCCAGCAGTTAAAACACATGTTACTTACTGCCTTTGTCTCAGACACGGGTGCCTGCACTGTACATTTCTGTCACGGAAACATCACTGTGCCTGTTCTGGACTCTGCAATGTTCCATCTCCAAGGACTAAAATTCAAGGCTGCCCCCCCCCAAACTTCTGGGACAGGGAGACCCCAGAACTCAGATAGCACTGCCTCCCCTAGTGTGTACTTCCACCTACTGGAGGCTTCGAGAAACTCAGCTCAGCCCTTCCAGTTCACATACAACCCAAGTCTGGCATGCTCTTTCCTATGCCAGGAAGCACTTGATGTCACTAAGCCACACAGCCTTTTACCTTCCTCCTGACCAAGTTGCTTATTTTTAGCCCTCTTCCTGGCCTCGATTTTATCTGTATCGGCATTGACGGCATCGTAGATGGTCTCCACCACTTCCTGCTGCCAGCGCTCGGAGATCACCAGTGGGAAGTTCTTATAGAGGTCCTGATCACAGTCCAACAGCTGGGTATGTAAGGAAAGAGGGGGGGTGTGCTTTAGTGCCTTCCACAGCCACACTAGGGAAGACTTCACCTTGGCCAAGGAACCCTTACCATGACCACATTCAGGAGGGGAGCCACATAGCAACACTCCACTCTCACAGTCTTTACTGTCCTGAAACCCACAGCCACACCAGGGAAGGCTTCACCTTGGCCCCAGGCCAGGCAGCCTGAACCTGATCTTCAATAATGCTAGGGTACTTTTGACAATGAAACTAAGCATATGCTGACTTTTAATATTGTGTTTGTGTGAATGTGAATGGGGTGTGTGTGTGTTCCTGTGTGTGGACATGTGTATAGGGGTGCATGTGTGTAGCTGAGTGTGTGTGTGTTTGTGTGTGTGTGTGTGTGTGTGTGTGTGTGTAGGCCAGAGGTTGTTATTAGTGTCTTTCTCTATCATCTTATGTTTATATATTTATATGTGGGGGGGGGAGGGGGACAGTCTCTCTCACCAAGCCTGGAGCTTACTGACTGACAAGACCAGGCTTCCTCTTGCCCCTGCTCCTCTTCACTTCCCAGTGCTGGGCTTTGAGTGTTTTTACTTACGTGCTAGGGTTTTGAACTCAGGTGCTCATGTGCAGCACCCCCCACCCACCCAGTCCCTCACACTGATTTTATTTAGAGATAGAGACTCTGACAGCCAAGTAGCCTTTCAACCATGGGCACTGTGTTTATAAAACACAAGGGTCTACACAGTGTTCAAATTCTGATAAGGGAGAAAAGTCAGGGCCTCTGACCTGCCTCCCTCAAATGATCTAAAGGAGTGAGCTTGCCGCAGGCTGGAGCAGCCAGCATCTCCTGATTCACTTACCGCCATGACCAGAAGGACGTTTTATCTAAGTGGCATGGAGTGCGGGCACCCCAGCCTCTGAGGGCTGCAGAACAGGGTGCACACTTCACAACAGCACTTTTCTTTTACTTGTACATCTTTGTCCCACCCTCTAAGGTAGGTAGGTGTCCCTGGGAATCCAGGAAAGATGGTGACTTTGCTACCACTCAAACCCAGAGACTCTGGCTCTACCGAGTTACCCTTGCTCACAGCTGCCTCCTGTCCCTGCCTCATCTTCCTCCAGCCTCTGCCTTCACTATGTCCCCAACACTCCCAGTCTGAGTGTCCCTGTGACAGCTGACTCAGCCACAGAACCTGCCCATCCTCTTTCCAGGCAGCAGGTGTGGTTGGCATGCAGAACCATGGCCTGCTGCTGGAGGGAGAGCTTTTAGGTGAGAAAGTGAGCAACTGCCTTTGGTGGTGGGGGGGGGAGACTGGAGCAGCAGAGAAGAACCAGGGGCAGATGACAGGCTGGCAGGCCAGTGGTGACCCGCTGACTTAGCAGTTTAAAGACAGTAATTTTCCTCATGACTCACTCCCTGTGAGTATGTCTTGTCTCAGCTTGGAAAAATAGAGTCACGCACCAAAGTCTAAAAAATGCAAGGGATGCTAAGACCACCCTTGATCAACATGTGCAAAGAGATTCATGCTGTTTGCATGCTCCCTCCTGACACATGCAGACCTGAGACCAGTGGTTCTCAACCTTCCTAGTGCTGGGATCCTTAAATACAGTTCCTCATGTCCTGGTGACCCCCGCAACCATAACATGTTTGTGTTGCTACTTCATAACTGTAATTTTGCTACTGCTATGAATCATCACATAAATATCTGATATGCAGATGGTCTTAAGAGAACCCTGTGAAAGGGTCACTTGACTCCCAAAGAGGTCGAGCCCCACAGGTTGAGAACAAGCTCTGGGCTTAGAAGTATGAAAATCGTGGATTCTTTTGCTCTGAGTGGAATGTGTTTGAATCAGTTTTCACTCCTGCCTCAGATGCAAGTTGGAGTTCAACTGCAAATACCACACATTATAACAATGCAAGCACTGTGCCATCCATCAAAGTGAAATGATCAGTGGTGCTGGGGATGGGGAGAAAGCTTCGGCTATTGCTGCTGAACCTAAGTGTGCAATTCTAAAACTATCACCAAGTGTAATGGGTTCTTGTCTCCACAAGCCAGGAAGGGTGGAGTGGCCAGTTATCTCAGCATTGGGAGGCTGAGGAAGACCTAGGGTTCAAGGCCTGCTGGGCTGCAGAGAGTGCAGGGGATGGGGGTGTAGCTCGGGGGCAGAGTGCTCATCTAGCATGTGCAAGGGCTCCAGTCGATCCCCAGGCCCCTCCACACACAGCAAATATTAGTAGAAATCCTACACCCAGAAGTGTGCATACCTTAATGCCTTTGGTGTCCTCTTCATCAAATGAGCCAATATCAAAAGCGTCTGCAGCGTTGACCTCTCCCCGGGGAGGGATTAGGGGTGGCGGGTACTAGAAGATCCAACAAGTAGATAGGGTCCAGTTATCAGCTGCCCTGTGTGCCCCCAGCCCAAGATAACACTCTATAAAAAGAACACAGCCCAGCCTTCAGAAAGCAAGTGTCCAGAGAGTGCGGCCCACCCAGAGCCTCACACTGCAAGCCCTTATGAGTGCTGGCTTCCCAGGGTATCTGAACATGGCAGGGTGGGCAGGCAGTCCCTCCTCCCCATGGAAACTCCTACCATGCTTCAGCTGGGCTTCACACAGAAACACGTTTAAAAAAATTCAACCAAAGAGAGAATACAACAAAGCTTAAAATAAGGGGAAGGGGTAGCATGTGACTCCATGGGTAAGGATCCAGCTCTAGCATAAAACAAAAGTTTAAAAAATTTAAAAACCAGGAAAGGGAGGTATGGGGGCCAGAAAACATACATGCTCAAGTCAGATGTTCCTTGCATATTGAAGTCTGACTCTACACACGTCTCAATTAGCCAGACAACTACTGCACTGTGCCTTCTCACTGTGCCTTCCATTAATTTGTTGGGATGATAGAGCCAAAATTTTTATACAGTTGCCCCTCAGCACCCGCAGAGAACCTTTCTGGGCCATCTCTTGGCTATAAGGTCCACCGAGGAGCAGGTCCCTGATATACAACAGCAAGGGTTTGCGCAGAACCTGCTTACATCCTCTATAGACTTTAATCTCTAGGTGATAGCACAAATGCTCTTGCAAATCGCAGTCAGTCTGTGTCGTTTTGACACCAGGAGTCCATGTGTGCTCAGTACACCAGTGGTTTTGTTTTTTGTGTGTTTTTCTTGCATATTTTCTATCCATGGTTGATTGAACCACTATCTGGCCTGTGTGAGGAAAATGAGGAAGAGGAGCCTCCCCAATGGGAGTCCTCTACATGGTGATGAGTCCAGGCAGAACATTAGACACAGCAGGTTGGGGTGGGGACCATGGAGGGACAAAGTCCCTCTCCCTCCCTCTTTCATGGACACATAGTAAGAAAGCAGCAAGTTATTTTCAGAGCACACAGAAAATGCTTCGGAGATTGGAGGCACCAACTCTGGACCTGGGAAGATGTCCCATTTGCCCAGATGGATCCAGCATCAGAGAGACGGACAGATAGATCTCAGAGGGCCTAGAGGGATACCTTCCGTAAGTAAACATGCTGCCAGTCAATGCCCTTGAAGAAGATGTGTTCCTTCACCTCTTGTGCCCTGGGGAAGAGGAGAGAGGGAGACAGAGGTCAGATGGGAAATGTGGCAGGTGCTGTGCTAAACTGTCTCCCAGTAAGAACCCACAGGGAACATTCCAGCTCCTTAAGAAACCAATTGCAGGCTGGAAAATGGCTCAGGGGCTAAAGCATCTCATGACGCATAACCACGAGGACCTGAGTTTGGATCCCTGGCTTCCATGTAAATGCTGAGCTGGCATGGTAGCAAGAGGCAGAGAGGAAATGTCCTGGGCATGTGGCTAGCTAGACTAGTCCATTCGGTAAGCTCTGGGGAGGGACCTGCCCCAGTATACAAGGTAGAGAGCAAGCAAAGAAGACACCGATCAGTCTTGGGTCCACACACACTGGCGCACGCGTGCACACACATACACACACACGTGCACAAGTGCACACACTCACATGCACATACATGCACATATGTGCATACCCATGATTTTGCACACACACACTCACATGCACACACATACACACTTGCACAGATGGGCAAACACAGACACACATGTGCACCCATGAGAGAGCACTCATGTGCACATGCACCCCACATTCTCTCTCTCTCTCTCTCTCTCTCTCCCTTCCTCCCTCCCTCCCTCTCCCTCCCTCTCTCAGGGACACATAGTAAGAAAGCAGCAAATTATTTTCAGAGCACACAGAAAATGCTTTGGAGATTGGAGGCACCAACTCTGGACCTGGGAAGATGTCCCATTTGCCCAGATGGATCCTGCAGCTTGAGAGAGCCTGGCAGTCCCCACAGATGCACACATGTACATCCATGTCGTGTGGCTACACATGACAACACAATCTGAAGAAGAGTGATGCCGAAGAGCTTTAAAAAAAACAAAAAACAAAACCAGAAGAGTTGGAGATCTAAGTGGTCAGAGAGGATAAACTAAGGAATCAAAGGAGAGAGACAGCTAACACACAATACCAGGAGCATGGAGGATCATCCTGCCAACCCTAGGGAGACTGCTAAGAGAAACGTGATGGGCTGAGGGAGACTGCACACATCTCTTGAGCTGAGGAGTACCAGCCCTGGAGAAGCCCCAGGCATCCAGAGAAGCTCTGACAGCATAAAGTCACAGCCTCAGAGCTTCAGGCACCTCTGCCCAGCTGTGACAGCCAGCTGGTTTGAGGGGGAAGTATTCCCACCTCATCCCCTCTCTAAGGGGCTACTTGGGAACAGACTGAAGCTAAAAGTTGGGGGCCCAGGAAAGTGGAGATCTCTGGTCAGGTAAACAGCAGACCCAGAAAACTCCAGTGCCACAGGGGATGGTGAAAGGGAGAAACAGAGGCCACACCTGGTTTTCACAGGACTTGGTAGGAAAAAAACGAAAACCCCACAATCATATTCTCTTCTCTCTCTCTCTCTCTCTCTCTCTCTCTCTCTCTCTCT